CTTAGAATTTGAAAGACTTTTGGACAGATATTTTCAGGTTCTTAAAAAAATAGTAAGTTGCTCGAATGGTGTGGTTCGGTGGTGGAGCACCAACTTATGAACCTGGAGGTCATGGTTTGATTCCTAGGTTGTGGGCTCGATCCCCAGTGGGGCTGGGCAGGAAGTAGCCAATCAATGATTCTCTCTCATTGTTGATGTTTCTTACTCTCTCTCCCTCTTCCTTCCTTTCTCAAATCAATAAAGATATATTGGGGGGCTGCGGGGGAGGAAGACAAGTTAAACCAATACTTTTCCTTTTCCTTCAATAAATTTCTCGCCGAAACCGGTTTGGCTCAGTGGATAGAGTGTTGGCCTGCGGACTGAAGGGTCCCGGGTTCGATTCCTGTCAAGGGCATGTACCTTGGCTGTGGGCACATCCCTGGTAGGGGATGTACAAGAGGCAGCTGGTTGATGTTTCTCTCTCATTGACGTGTCTAACTCTCTATCCCTCTTCCTCCCTCTCTGTAAAAATCAATAAAATATATTAAAAAAATTTTTTTTTCTCTTTAGCTGACATACCTATTTTTAAAGTTTTCAGTGTTTTTAAATTTGTGGTGGGCAGGGTCCATCCCTGACACCCACTGGACAGATCACACGGTGCACAAAGCACCTGAGCATGGTTAGGAGAGAGGAGGTGGCAGCCAGGGTCTTCCCGTCACAGAGGCTGCCAGTGCTCAGAGCTGCCCCATGGAGTGGCCGCCCGGATCTGAAGGCCTGGGCTTCACTGCACATGGCTGACTTCCCCAGGCCCTTTGTCTTCATTAGGACCTCACATCAAAACAAATATGCTAATAAATATGGCTATTAAGTTCCATTTTTTCTATGTCCTTAGGCGTCTTTAAAAAGCCCAGCAGACCTCCAGTTAAATAAACAAACCATTGGGCTCAAAACTATGTCAAAATGCGTGCAATTAGTAGGTTAATAAATCCAGTCCCTTAAGAACTTTCGCCTCGACAGAGATACTCCCGAGGAGATAAATTAAACGATTCCAGCCTAAGGAAGCCCCCGCCAATGACAGAGTCCACATGCACTGAACAATTTATTCTCGTTCAGATCTTCCTGGACCTCGCAGGAATTTGGATTAATCTTAGTATATGTGCTGTTGAAGCGAGCACAGGAATTTGGATTAATCATCCTTTAGGCTCCGTCCTGGGTCAGGAGGGACGGCTTTCATTGCTTGGTTAACTATTGGGGATTTTTTTTTTCCTTAAGTGGGAGCAAGGAAAGCGTATTTGGTGATCGACTTGAGAGCTGGTTTGTGGATTTCCTGCACCTCCTGTGAGCACTGACTGAGCCCCAGACAAGTGAGAAGGTGGACAGAAGACCTCCCCCACCTTGCTGTCCACCCCACTAACACCTCCCCCCCCCCCTCTCTCTCTCTCTCACACACACACACACACACACACACACACACACACACACACACACTGCCACTGCAGGGGAGACTCTCACCTCAGTTTGCACTTTCATTCATTCACTGAACACATGGCAAGCCCTGCTTCACCTGCAACAGTGGAACATGGTCTCTGCCTGGAGGCAGCTTGCAGTCTGCAGGCAACCAAGTAAAATTGGACAGAACAGGATGTTTTGTCCTTACCCATGGGTGCCCTACATAATGTGCCCTGCCTCTATCTCTGAACTCATCCTCTACCACATGGCCACCCACCCACTTTGCTCAGCCACCCTGTCCGTCTCGCTGTTCCTGAGCAGGCTGACCATGTTCCCGACTCAGGGCCCCTGCACTTGCGTTCTTTCTCGAGTCCACTGACGTCTCTGCTCAGAGACTTCCTTCATCCCCTCACTGGAAATGAACCCCCACCCTCCTCTGTCCTCATTCTCTAATAGTGCTTGTCAGCGTTTGATTCAACCAGATGTTGAGTATTATCCGTCGCCCCATCAGAACGTCCACACCATGAAGTCAGAGATTGTCTGCCCTGTTCTGTGCCGTCTCCCCAGGACAAACCTGGCACAGAACAGATGCTCAGTAAAGACGTGCTGGAATTTAAGCACAATGATGGTAAGGGAGGTGACAGCTGGCCAGAGAACCCATTCTGGGGTGGTCAGGGAAGGCCTCCCAGGGGAAGTGACACGTGAGAGAGGGAGTTAGCTGGGTTTGTGGAGGAAGGGATACAGAGAGGAGGCACAGAAAGGAAAAAGTGGCTGCAGAAACCATGCCAGAGTGCTGGGCCAACCTCTGGATGATTGCAAAACCTTAGCAAAAGGCTAAAGAGGTGAGAAAGAGTCCCCACATCTGGTCTTCAGCGAAGGGATCTGCTGACCTCTCCCGCTGAGCTCTGGCCTCCAGCAGAGCCACCCCCAGAAACAGTTCCGCCCTGGAACGTGGATGACCGGGAGGGAGATGCATTGCTGATTGGCGCCCTCTTATGGCCAGAGCCCCTAGATGGGGTGCCTGAGACCATCCTTGGAGTTCCTCTTCCCTTTACAAAACAGATAATTAACCGCGCACTGACGCAAAGTTGATCTTTTGATAAGACGGCTCCTTAGACTTGGCATTTTAAACTTCTATTTTGTTTAAAGGCCGGGGCCCTGTGGAACAACAGCACACACTTACTGAGCAGTTCCCACATCCTGGGGACATTATGGGTATTCATTCATCTAACCCTCACAGGCCTGGGGTGACTACCAGTGTCCCCATTCCACAGAAGAGGAAGGTGAGGCCTGGAGGTTGCGGGGCTGGTGAGCGGTGGAGCCGGATTCACACCCAGGCAGTTAGTGCCACATCCGCGCTCCAACCGTGGCTCTGTGCCACGCTGAGGGCAGCAGACAGGCCAGGCCTGGGCAGAGGGAGAGGAGAGACAGTGGGCAGGCACCGTAGGGGACAAAGGCCTCCACTGCAGCCATCTCCCATCCCCTTAGTGGCCCTCAGGACCTGGAGCGAAAGGAGCCGCCAATAAAAGTAAGAAAAACTCCAGTTGGTGGAGTGAGGACGGTGCAGGATGTGGACTCGAGCTTCCCAAGTCCCTGGGGGCATGGGGCCAGGGGTGTCCCTGTGCCAGGCTCTGCGGGCAGGGTCCCTGTGCAGACAGCCCCAGCGCGGCCGGCCTGCCGTGCGGCTGTGTCTCTCAGCCTCCTTCACCATTTATGGTATCTGAGCCTGTGTCTGGCCTTCACAGGTCAGTAAGCCCACACGGGGAGGGGCTTCTCACTCAGGCAGGGCTGCTCTCAGAGCAGGTCCAAATGGCCTCGAGGAGTTCTTGCCGGACCCCTCTCTTTCTGCTTTAAAACACACGTGGATGGGTCCACCCACAAACCAGGAGGCAGGAAGGATGGCTGCCAGACTTCCTGACCCTTCACCTGGGGACCCCCACCTGCAGCCGCACCAGCAGCTCAGCTGGGTCTCTCTAATCCAATCTTCACACTGGCAACCGGGACAGGCCCTGGATTAGCAGGGCCACAGCCGAAGCTAGTGAGGGAGAGGCTGAGATGCTACACCCACTGGACGCCAGCCTCGCTTTGGATGCCACTAGATTTTGGGGTTGGCGTGCAAACCTCCAGGGAGAGCTCCGGGTGGGAAGGGGAGAGCTGCTCCCCTGGTCCAAGGAGACGAGGCTCAGATCTGTTCTTGTCTCCTCTGAAGTGTCACAAACACAATTTCCCCAGGCCCCGCCAGGAGCCATGAAATGAGATCTGTGAGGACACGGGATAAATGCGGAACCCAGAACACTGGCTGACAAACACCCAGGGGCGAGAGCCAGGCTCCGACCAGAGCCTAGAGGGCTTCCTGGAGGAAGAGGGACCAGGTCACGGCGATGACCCCATGCCTCGGCCCCTCAGAGAAATGGGCGAGGCCAGGGAGCATGTCCCCTCTTGGCAGGGACCCTAGGGAGCCAGCGTTGGTCACGTCCTCGGTCAGTGCCGACTCCTTTACCCCTGCGTGGCTGACACTGCCCAGCCAGGGGCCCAGCCTCCCGCCCTGGGCCAGGGACACACTCTGGAAAGGGCCGGCTCAGAAACGGGCCGGGCTTGGAGCATGAGCAGCTGGGTTTGGGAGGCCAGCTAGACTCGCTCACTGGGCGTACTTGGGCAAGTCATGTTCACTTCTCCCGTCCCCCAGATCCCTTGTGTGAAACATGAGAGCCCCCCACCCAGGGCTGCTGAGGCCCAGATGGGAAAATACAGGTGAGGGGGAAGTACTTAACACATAACCCACATGACCTTTCCCTTTTCAGTGAAACCCAGAAGGTGGCTGCTCAGGGGACAGGGATGTTCTCCCGGGGAGGCCTGGGCCCTGGGGGACAGAGTGGGAAGACTAGTCTTCCTGCTGGTCTGCAGGGAAAGCAGGGCCAGAGCACCCTGCTCCAGGCCCCAGCCCCACTCACCCCGGGAGCCGGCTCAGGCCAAAGTGGGGGGGGGGGCGGGGAGAGTCAGGCTTACCTGGACACCAGGCCCCGGCCCAGTCATCCCAAGGATCCAGCCCAGGCCAGGGTAGAGTGGGGAGTCAGGCTTACCTGGACACCTGGACCTGAGGACACTTTCCCGGCCACTGTCACCACCACTGACACCACAGCCCAGAGGGCTCTGACTTGAATTCTGTGCCGGCCCAGCCCCTTCCTGAGACTAAGCCCTCGACTGGATCAGTGGGCTAATCGGATTACCGCGCCCCAGGCTGGTGAAGTGTATAAAAACAAGCCTGGGGCGGTGGGAGGAGCAGGGGCAGACCTTTGGAAGCCTCAGTACTTGAGGGGGCATTTGTGAGAGCCCTAGGTCTCAGGGGATCGGGGTGCTCCTCTGAGGTCATCTTTCAGCGTGCGGTTTCCTTCCTGCCGGATCAGGAGCTACTCGAGACAAGGAATCTCTGCCCTTTTCTGCTGCGTCTGCCCTCAGCCCTGCCCCCATGGCAGACCCTTGTCACCGTGGACTCCTGGAGGCCATCTCCTCCGCCCGCCTGCTCTCAGGTGCGGTGCCCTTTCCCAAACAGGTGTGTTTGCAGAGGCTCCTACCGTGGACAGTGACCCGGGCGCTGCAGGACACCTGCCCCAGGGGGTTCTCGGCCAGGCAGGTGTAGGTGCCGTGGTCCTCCGGCAGCGCGTCCTGGACATGCAGCTCGGCCACGCCAGCCTCGCAGGTGGAGTGCGCGTACTGGATGGGCTGTTCTGTGGAGGAAGCACAGGGGGGCTCAGGCCAGGCGGCACGGGGGCTCAGCAGGCTGCTCTGTGACTCTCATGCTCTCCGTGGTTGCTCAGATACACTGAGACCTAATGAGGAATCAGCCTCCCCACCTCCCTCCCCAGCCACCTGGGCAGAGGCTTGTGGGTGGAGAAAGAGGCAGGTGCTAGGGAGCTGGGGGGAGAGGAGTAACTGTGAGGGTGGAGGAGCGAGACAGAGGCTGGAAGGACTAGGGGAGAGGAGGCATATAGGATGTGGGAAGGAAAGGGGCATAGTTCTGTGCATTCTTTTTTGTTTTTTTTTTTTGTTTTTTTTTTAATTAACGTTTTATTCATAATTGCCAAAGCTTGGAAGCAACCAAAATATACTTCATGGCTTACTTCGTTTTAGATAACTATTAAACTGCAGTGCATCCAGACAATGAAATATTATTCAGCAGTAAAAAGAAATCACCTATCAAGCTATGAAAAGAAATGAAAGAACCTCAAATGCATAGTACTAACTGAAAGAAGCAATAAACAGTCCCTCAGTCCACATCCTGGACTTCACAGACTTAGGAGCCTGGAAGGAATCTCACAGGGTCATCTGGCCCACAGCCCAGCCTCAGGCAGAGCAGACCACGCCAGACTCCTTTTTAGAAATCTCCAGAAACAACGATTCCATAGCCCATGGCAGATAGTTACCAGAACTCTCAACCTGATGCTGAGTTAGGTGCATTTCTCCCACGTGACAAGATGCATTTTAGGGTTCACAAAGAAGATAAACCCGGGGATGTGACAACAACTCTGGCCCCTTCTTCCCAAGGACCCTGCCCGAGAGGCCCTCAATAAAACCCTGCGTGGGGATAGAAACGCAGGCCGTGAACTCAGAGGTTCCCTTAATGCTGCTCTACGTTCCTAGGACCTTATCATTCCAGAATGGGAGCTTTCGTTGCAAGAAGAAACCTCATCACTGAGGACTGTGGCCTGAGAGCAGGAATGTGTCCATTCACCATTTAGGAAGCAAATGTCAGCTTCTTCCCTCGTCAGGCTGCAGGCTCCCGGTTTGCACTTCATAAAGTCGGGGGTGAGCCGTGGGGGAGGGAGGAAGTATGGAGAGAAGTGTTCTCCCTGCAATGCAATGTTTCCTCCTGCACATAACAACACTCACGTCTCCATGACAGTCTGCCAGGGGCGGCCAAGCACAAACAGGACCTGAGGGAGGAGGCTCTGCCTGACCGACTGCCCTGCACCGAATCGGGGCTGGAAAGGCAGGGGCCAGGTTCCTGCCTCTGAGAGGGCTGACCACCACTCTTGGTTTTTATTTTTGTGTGTAAATCACACCCTAAAACCTCTCTTCCTTGAGAATACCAGTGCATCCTATGACTGCCCTCCAAGGGGCTCTGCTGTGGAACATGCGCTGACAAGATGTGTGAGAACTCTCCTTTTACGGGGCACAACTCAGCTGGTCCCCACCGGATGGGATGGGATGGGATGGGATGGGATGGGATGGGATGGGATGGGATGGGATGGGATGGGATGGGATGGGATGGTGGCCCCAGGAAAGAGGCACACAGATTAGGAGACAGAACTCTCCCAGCTCCAGGAAGATTAGGACCAGAGTCAGTGGCCACGGGGCTCCATCTTGAGCACAATTGCCCTCTAGTGGTCAGAGTGTGGAAATGCCAAGATTCACCCGGAAGAAGAAGGTGGGATTACTTTTCAGTCCAGTGTAGACCAGGTCAGCAAACCACTACTCAAGGGACAAATCTGACCTGAAGCCTGTTTTTGAACAGCCTGAAAGCCAAGAACAGTTTTTATAGATGTAAAAGGGTTGAAAAAAAAATCAAAGGAAAACTGTTTCATGATGTGAAAATTGTATGAAATTCACATTTCAGTGGCCATCAATAAAGCTTTACTGCTTTATTGCGGTATATACAGCCACACTCGTTCATTTGCATATTGGGTCTGGCTGCTTTAGAGCCAGGACAGCAGAGTTGAGTGGTTTGACAGAGACAATACTCTCTGGCCCTTCACAGAGGAATGTCCTTGCGCCTCTGGCTGGGACGCAGAGTCAGATGGAAGTGAAGCTCTCTCGCTCAGATCCATCACTAGTCCTTAAAGCCCATGCTCCGTCCCAGCCACAAGGAGGCTGCCCCCTGGCAGTGAGTCACGAATGTAACAGGGGCTATGTTCTTAATGAGGGCAGAGTGCAGGGAGACAGACCTCAGTTCTCACTAATCATCCAAGAAGACACAAAGGAAAATTCCATAATGCCTTTTCTCATTGATGGGAGGTAATCTCCATCAAAGCCTAACAAACTATACCAACGAGGAAGGTTCCCAACCAACATACACCAAACAGCCTCCAGCTGTCCACAAACAGCTGGAGGCTGTTTGGTGTATAGGTGATGGGTACCCTTCTCCCTTAAGGAGCCTATCCCATCAGCCCTGAGAGCTGGCTGAGACCTTGAACCTCTGTTCCAGCCCATCTCCTCATGGGTGATGCCAGAGAGGGAAGGTGGGGTGTCCAGGTTGCCCAACCACTCGATGGCAGAGAAGGATGAGTGCCCTTGTCTCCTGATTCTTTAAAAATATATATATATATTTTATTGATTTCAGATAGGAAAGGAGAGGGAGAGAGATAGAAACATCAACAATGACAGAGAATCATTGATCAGCTGCCTTCTGCATGCCTCCTACTGGGGATGGAGCCTACAACCCAGGCATGTGCCCTCGGCCGGAATCGAACCTGGGACCTTTCAGTCTGCAGGCCGATGCTTTATTCGTTGAGCCAAACCAGCTAGGGCAATGTCTCTTGATTCTTGGCAGCTGTTCCTTCATTCCCCATGTTGGTCCCCAAAGCAGACCTTGCTCAATTTCATCCATTTTATGGACTGTCTCAGTCCTAAAATTAGAGTTCTTCCATACTTTTGGGATTCAAAGGCCTTTTTGAAAGAGGAGGGGGATAATATGTGATAATATTTTTCAAAGGACATTACTTGGCCATAAAAAAGAAAAGAAAAGAAAAGAAAAGAAAAGAAAAGAAAAGAAAAGAAAAGAAAAAAAGCTTGCTGCCCTGGCCAGGTAGTTCGGTGGGTTAGAGCATCGTCCTGATACACAAAGGTAGTGGGTTCCCTCTCCGGTCAGGTACATATAAGAAGAAACAGTGAATGCAGAAGTAAGTGGAGCAAGTTGATATTTCTCTCTCTCTTGTTCTCTCTCTCTCCCTTCCACACTCTCAAAATCATTAAATACATTTTTTTAAAGTTGGCATGTCTCCAAGCACTATGCCATTAAAAAGAATTACTGGTCTGTGAACCTCATCACCACTTGCCACTACATCAAAGACGAGGTCCTTTGAGTAACTTCTAGTATGGTTCATTAATTTGGTGTATTTGTTCCTTTATTGACCCCACAAATATTTATGGAGGGCCTATTATGAGTCTGGCCACATAGAAAGGAACTAAATTGCTTGTGCACCTATGTCCCAGGCACCTCGTTAACCGTTTTATATAAAGGATCTAATTTAATTTCACGACCGCCACCCTGGAAGGTAGGTGGCTTTATTTCTGTCTTGTAGGAGAGGAGCTCAAGGCTCAGAGGGAGTAGTAACCTGCCCAGCATTCCCAGCCAGGCAAGAGCAGGTCCCAATCTCTCTGTACCTGTGCTTCCTTCTTGTGCACATGTGCTTCAGAGAGATCAGTGTGGAAGCCAAGTGAGAATGCAGGCTGGACCAAGGGGGCCTGAGGGCTGAGGCAGGGCACCGGGACGGGGCGGGGCGGCGGGGGGGGGGGGGGATGAGGAGCCTCACCATTTAGCAGCCACGTGATTCGGGGCACTGGGGTCCCCTGCACCGAGCACTGTAGCACAAAGTCCTGGCCCTCCACGACGGTGCAGTCCTTCAGGACGCTGGAGAAGGAGGGGGCCGCCTCCATCACAGCTGGTCCTGCGAGGGCAGAGAACAACAGGCCATTTCAGGTCCCAGCTGGCCCATTCTGGCGACTGACCACAGTCACTCCAAGTCTCACAGGGAGACACCTCACTGCCCTGGGCACCCAGGGCTTCCTTGGAGTCCTCACCCTGGGAGCAGCACTCCTCCGGGGTGGAGCCTGAGGCGGAGTACCTGGCAGGGCTTTCCACCAACACAAAGCACCACGTGTGGGGGTGCTCAGGACCCAGGCCCGCCTCCTGCCATGGGACTCGGACACTCCTGCTTGGTCTGCCTCTGACATCTCCTCCTTTTGCCTTTCTGGTCCTACTCCACTGACCAGTGTCTCTAAGCTTCTTTATATCCATTGGTGACTGCACAGTCTTGTGACTATCTTTTTACATGGACAGGTCGCTTGTAAGAACATTTCGGGTTTAAGTTAGTGTAATTATTTTTTCCAATTCCAGGACTGAATCAGATGACAGACTCATAGAGTCCTAGTGTGTCATCCCACGCCAATGGCTCAGGACCGCTGGAGGCGGTGATTGTGCCTAACGAAGCTCCTGCATGACGCTGACCTTGCAGACCATCCAGCTGGACTTCCCAGAAGTCTGTACACTGGCGAGCTGGGGAGCATTTTGTAGTTCGAGGACCTTAACTAAGAGCAGTAGGGATAGACAGTCTCTTGTACAATGATTAGGACATGTTGCAGAAATGTCAAGGGAGGGCTGATGGCTGAGAAAAGGTAACTGGACTGGATGATTAAAAAACATCTCAGAGAGATGCAAATCAAAACAACAATGCAGTACCATCTCACACCTGTCAGAATGGCCAACATCAACAAATCAACAAACGACAAGTGTTGGAAGGTTGCGGAGAAAAAGGAACCCTCGTGCACTGCTGGTGGGAATGCAGACTGATGCAACCACTGTGGAGAACAGTGTAGAGTTTCCTCAAAAAACTGAAAATGGAACTCCCATTTGACCCAGTAATCCCACTCCTAGGAATATATCCCAAGAAACTAGAAACACCAATCAAAGAGGAAATATGCATCCCTATGTTCATAGCAGCCCAATTTACAATAGCTAGAATTTGGAAAGAGCCTAGATGCCCGTCAGCAGATGATTGGATCAAAAAACTATGGTACATCTACACAATGGAATACTATGCTGCCATAAAAAAGAAGGAATTCTCATCATTTGCAGCAACCTGGATGGAATTGGAGAACATCATGCTGAGTGAAATAAGCCAATCAATGAAAGACAAACACCACATGACCTCACTCATTTATAAATAAAGAACATTAATAAAGAACATTATAAACTGATGAACCAAAAGATAGATATAGAGACAGTAAAGCAACAAGCAGACTGTCAAATTACAGCAGGTAGGGTAGGGAGATCTGGGGAAGATAATAGATCGACCAAAGGACTTGTATACATGCATATAAGTACAACCAATGGACACAAAACTGTGGGCAATGTTAAAATATGTACACAGATAATAATTTAATTTAAAAAAATAAAAAAATAAAAGCCATAGATGACAAACCTAAAAATAAATAAATAAATTAATTAATTAATTAAAAAATAAAAAACATCTTACCTGTGCTTTTCACGAGAAGCTATTCAACACAGTGATGAGAGGCAAGCCATGTGATTACACTGCGAGGTTAAGTTTAAGGGCCAAACCCAATAGTCAAGGGCTTCCTGTATGCCAGGTACTTTCTCAGATGGGATTGACAAGGACATGCACTTTCTGTCTTAGCTCACTTTACAGACGAAGCTAATAATGTCCCATAGCCAAGCCCAATGATGAAGCAAGGCTCTCGGCTACATGCACACTTCCTCCGCTAGACCAGAGCTCCCTGAGGAGAGAGGAGGCAGTGGGAGAGCAGCCAGGAGTCAGTCACGGGGCATCTGAGAGGGACTGGCCCCGAGGGAAGGATGACGGCTACCTCAAGGGGATGTGGGGAGGCACCACCTTTACTTCTTCCCCGTCGGTGCCCAATGCTCTCACTAGAAAAACGCCTCTGTGAGCCACTGAAAATATGGGCTTCCACATCAGACCAACCTGGGTTAGAATCCTTTTACAAAGCACGTGACCTTGGACAAGTCACCTAACCTCACTACAGCTCGGTACGGGGTGTGACTGCAACTGGTGTGTAACGCTGTTGGGTTAACTAAATGGAGCAATGCCAGTAAAACATCCGCACAAGCGCCGGCACACAGGGCAGGCTTTTCTGGTGGAGTGTGAGCTGTTACAATCACAGAAGCTGTGACAGAGTGTGGGGAGGCCTGGGACAGGAGTTGGCTAAAAGTGCCTGCCCCTGCCTTGACTTTTTCAAACAAGTCTGAGCCCCTGGGTGTTTGCTTAGGCACGTTCTTGTTTACAAGACACTACAGACGCATGTGTCTTCTTAAGGATGCTTGCCCTGCTGAGAGTATTTAATAGTTAATTTTAGTTCAAGCTGTTGTTACAATAAAAGCCTAAGGAGGCAGGCGAACAGGGCTGCTTGGCTGCCACAGCCAAGCAGTCTCTCAGCCTCTCCTCCACAGAAACGTGTCAGAGTAATCCTTTCACCCGTGACTCAGGGTCTGTGTCAGTCCCAGCGACAGAACTCTCTCTACATGGCAGCAAGTTTAAGGAAGAGGGAGCGGAGAGATAAAGGTGGAGCTAACGAGGCAGTGGAGTGGAGGGAAGAGTTTTCCTTCAGCACAGGGGAGAGCAGAGCATGCCCACTGGGGCAGAAGGGCCTCTGGATACAGGGAGGGGGAGAGAGAATGGCAGGAGAGTGGATCGTTGTTGGTTTCAGTCTTTGTGGAGAAGGGACAGAGCAGAAAGAGAAGTCTCCCTAAGGGAAACAGACAGCTCTCTGCTGTGATAGAAAAAGAGGAAGAGGGAGAAATTTTACAGAAAAGATAGATGGGCACAAGCATTAATCATCGTTTTGTTACATGAGTGCAAACATGGGAGCAATCTAAATATTCAACTATGCCGAAATCGGGCACATTATTCTATGAAACATGATGTGGCCATCAAAATTATGTTTTCAAATAATATTAAAGAAAGCAATAGTATAGAAAGATGCTCATGGGATATGAGCAAATTAGAGCACAGCACAGCGTCGATGTTGTTTTAAAAACATTAAAATATCATATATTTGAGTCATAGGCTCATGCATTGTCTAAATTCCCCACAACGAACACCCGTTACTTTTATAAACAGACATTACAATAAACAGAAGAGATGTGGGATCCCACACCAGCTCACATTACTTTAGACGCATATATTTAGTGGCCGTTCGGCTCCCTGTGGTTACAGAAGTGAGTGCCGGCGCTACCCAGACAGCTGAGGAGCCCAAGAAAGGCAGCTCTGGCGGGCGGGCGTGGGCCGGGCAAGTGTATTCTGAGGTGATGTTGATGAACTTGAGGTCAGGGTCACTGTTCCAGAGCAGAGCCTTCGGTCTTGGCGTGTATGTGGGGACAATGTCTGCGGGGCTGGACGCCCTGGGTGGGGGCTGTGGGAGACGACCTTGTGCAGGATGGGAAATCTCCCCCCCCCCCCCCTTCGCAGAACTCAGGGAACCTGGAGGAACACACTCACTTTTCACCAGGAGGGTCCAGTCGCAGGACGCCTGGCCCCGGATGTTGGAGGCCACGCAGCTGTAGCTCCCGCTGTCCCTGGCCCGGGCTCTCAGCAGGCTGAGGCAATGGGACCCACCGTCTTCGTAAATCTCCACGGTGCCTTCTCGCCTCCTCACGGGGACACCTTCCAGGAACCAGGCCACGTGGGGCTTAGGGGTCCCTGAAACTACAGGGTCAGGCGAAGGTCGTGAGGTCCCTGTACTGGGGGGTGGGAGCCCAGGAAAGAGCTCAGCTTGGTGTGTAGCTGCCTCCTGCGTGAGTCCACTTTTTTTTTCTTTTAAAAAATATATATTTTATTGATTTTTTTACAGAGAGAAAGGGAGAGGATAGAGAGTTAGAAACATCGATGAGAGAGAAACATCGATGGGAGAGAATCATCGATCAGCTGCCTCCTGCACATCCCCCTACTAGGAATGTGCCCACAACCAAGGTATGTGCCCTTGACCAGAATTGAACCTGGGACCCTTCAGTCCGCAGACTGACACCTCTCTATCCACTGAGCTAAACTGGTTTCGGCTTGAGTCTACTTTCTTACCCCTCGACCCTCCACGTCACAGAAGTGAACAACCCGGGACAGGGGCAGGGTCCTAGTGGGGAGGGTCCAGGGTGACAGCTGGGTCTCCGGGTGAGCCAAAGCCAGCAGGAAGGAGGAGAGGAGGGGACTTGTGGCTGGTTTTTGACGGTGATGATCAGTTTCCCCTCCGGGTGGTGAGAATCAGGGCGCAAGGCTGATGCTCTACCCAACAATAAGCAAGGGCATTGCTGGGTATTTCTTCAGAACACGGGGCATCAGAACACTACACTGAGTCCTTCCTGAGGGATGGCCCCTGCCAAGCAGCTTCCAGGGTGGCTGGGGCCCAGGAGGACGGGTGGTGCAGGAGGCTCGGACACGGTGCTGAAGGAGAGAGTGGCCACCCAGGGCTACCCTGTGGGGCCAGTGACCTCAGTTAGCGCTACTCACCCTCACACCTGAACTTGACTAGTTGACCTTCACGGACTTCCTGGCTCTGGGGCTTGCTGTCGAATTTGGGGGATGTGGAATCCATCCTGCTCTCCATGGGAATTTTCCTGGACGCGACCTTGTTCACAACGTCTTGGGTTCCCAGGCCAGACGGCCTGGTGGGGAGGGCGGCTGCGGGGGGAGCGGCTGGCCTCTCCCTCTCTTCTCCGGAAGGCAGGCGAGTGCCTGGGGCTGGCGCCCTGGGCTCCGGCTGGACCCTGGTGGCCTGCAGGGTGATGGTGCTGGAGGCCTTCTGCAGGACTGGGGTCCTCAGCGCCTTCCCGGGCAAGTCCCCGGGCAGATCCGGCGTGGGCTCCCTCGGGGGCGGAGGCTGGCTGCTGGGGGCCCAGGCGGGCGGGCCGCCTTTCTGGGCACCTTTCTTACTCTCAGCGGCGGCTTCTAGGCTGTCCGGTTTGGGCCTCGGTGTGATCCCATTGGCCACTTCCTTCCTGATGTCTGAACTGGCTGCCTTTGTTCCCCTCAGCGCTGACCTGGGGTTGGGGATGAGGGTGAGGAGGAGGAAGATGGTGGGGAAGGAGAAGAAGAAATAGAACGATCATCTGGTTACTTGCAAGCATGTCTCATCACAAGCACAGACTCCAGGGATCACAGAAGCCAGAGGACTAAGAGAAAGTGAGAGCAAAAGTGTGCGAGCAGTGTTCTCAGGTTCCCGAGCTAAAGAATGAGCAGCAATTCTCCACCCTTCCCTGGCCCTCGTCCCGCCCAGAGCTTGATCTTTCCACGATTATTAAATCTGCCTTATTTCTCTTCTCCAGGAGAACCAGCCAGCGTAAGCCACACCCCCACTTCCCTGTCCACGCGGCCCCTCTGTTCCATGTCCCACGGAGCAGGCGAGTCACGCTAAAAGCATGCATCATGCCATTTCAAACTTAAAGACTTTCCAACAGCGTTTCCATGATGTGAAGAACAAAACTGAGCTTCCGGAGACAGCCTGCCAAGCCGCCTCTATGAGCAGGGGCTCCTGCTGCCCCGTCAACCTCCCAAGACAGTATCGGCGCTGCCTACCGGGCTGCAGCCACACGGTGACCCCATGCCCCCTCTCACCTCACAGCCTCACACCTACCCTTTGCTTGGAACACTTTCTACCTGAGCTTTTCTCCACCAGCTAACATCACTCGTCACAGACCTGGGCTCAAACATCACGTCTTCCTCCAGGAAAGGCTTCTCTGGTCCTCGAGCCTACACACACTCTTCTCTGTTATTGTCCTCAGACTCATCACAATCCGCGCTTACGCATCTGTGCACTCTGTCCAAGCCCTTCTCAGCCCCAGGCATCTGCTCGCCCCACGCACCCAGGCCACTGAGCCTGCACACGGGGAGGGCGCTCCTAAGAGGAGCAGGATGGGCAGCAGGGTCTGGCCTGCTCCCTCCTTCCCTCCCTCCCTTCTTCTTGTTCTCCTTCTCCTCCACTCCAATTCACTCCAGTCTATTCCACTCCCCTCCACTCCAGTCCCTGCCCCCACCAAAATTCTGTCCATCCTTGGGCTCACACACAGTATACATACATACATACATACATACATACATACATACATAATCCTACACCTGATTATCAACCAAAGACTTGGAAACAACGGCCCTCTGCTGCTCCATGCCCTTCCTGATGATGCGATTGGAAAGGACTCTGAGCAGACGCTTAGAAAGACAGTGGCACTGAGTCCAGAGTCTCAGTACTGACGGCAAGGCTGCTTCAGAACCTGATGGCATGTTACAAGAGGAGAATGAAAGGAAACACCCACAATAAAACAACACCCTAAAACAGTTCTCGCCTATACCCAAAATAGAACAACACGCCAGGTCTCCCTCCTCCTATACCTGAAATAAAACACGCCCCAAATAGTTCTCCCTCCCCTACCTGGAACAAAACAACACCCCACACAGTTCTCCCTCCCCCATGACTCAGAATCCAGGGCATTCCTAGATGGAAACATAATCATCATAAAACCTAAACATACCTGTTGGCATTGTCCAAACCTGGAAAAAGGGAGAGGGCAGAATCACTGTTAGTGGGATATTTTATGCACCAACAGGAGAAAGAAATAAAACAACAACCTCTTCCATTAGAGTTGTCATTTCCTAAGCTCTCACTGCCCCCTCCCCTACGGCCCCACTTCCCTCTCTCCTTCAGCTTCCCTGGTCCTGACCTTCTTGGGTTGATCTGACAAGCCCCTCTGAGCTCTGCGGGCTGTCAGTGCTTCCGCTGCCGTCACCCTGCAGCATGGCACCTGTCCTGCTCTCTAGCCACAGGAGCCAGAGCCAATAGAGGGACAAACAAAAATAAACATGGCCTGAAAACTTCAAACCCAAACAGTTTAACTAACACGTGGCCCTCAAAAACGCCACCACCCAGATCATCATTTTTTTTTTTTTTTAAATGAACACCTGCTATAAAATGTTAAGGAAAAGTGTGTTTTTATTTAGTTCCTCAAAAAAATATATTTTTCCTGCCACATTGTTAATATTTATTATTATTTTATATCTTACCATGGAAAGTTTCAAAACATACAATAGTAGAGAGAAGGATGCGACAAACCCTGAAATCCATCGCCCAGATGAAGGAAATATCAATATTTTGCTAGTCTTATCTACCACTATGCTTTGTTTTATGGAGATTTTCCTGGGAGTGTTTTAGAACAAATCCCACGTGTTATAGGATTTTGTCATTAAGAACTTCAGGAGGGAGCAGGTCTCTAATTCAATGTCATGGCAAGTGAAGGAAGAGTGGCTAAGACTCTACCCGCCATGCCTAGCAGCAGGCCCTGCCCCTGCAGTGGGCTGCGGAGCTGGATTCTGTGGTCGGGCCAGATGATGCAGACGGAACAGAAAATAGCAGCATGTACTGTAAGCGGCACAACTCAGGATGGTTTTGAGAGACTTGTTTCAGTTAAATATGTTTACATACAGAGCGTGTCCTGAGTTGCGATGCAGAACACGTTTCTTTCTGTGGGTTGTGATAAATGCTTAGGCCAAAAATGGTAACGCAAGTGAGGAGGAGTCGTTTCTGGGAAAGGGAGGAAATGTGGGAGAGAAAATCACAGGAGAAAGGGTGAATACTTCAAAGGAAGAACTGACAGGGACAGATGATTATAGCAAGAGGAGGCAGGGGTGAAGGTGAGGCTGGAATGTCCAGTCTGGGGGAGAAGACAAAGGGGGGCCGTGGGGTAGACAGGGTTAAGTTGATTTGAAGGACAGAGTGAAGGCAGGTTACATTTGGGGTGATGGCAATAGCCATGGCCACTCTTCCGATTGGCATTTAGAGACATAAAACTAAGTCTGAACAAGAAAAGATGAAGACACAGGTGAGGGACGGAGGGTGGCCGTGTCTGCCCTGCCCTCCCACTTCCTTCCTCGGGTTCAAGACCTTGCCTCCGGGGACTCATGGGCCTGTAAATAGGACACACAGTGCTACACAGAGATGCATGATGGACAAGCGAGGAGGGTACAGACGCCAGGAGGGACTGTGTGCTTGCCTCCCGGCCCTACCTTGGATGGAGAGCTCGGCAGACATGGAGGCCTTCCCGGACCCATTCACCACCAGGCAGGTATACACGCCCACGTCATCCTGGCTCACGTCCTGGATCTCCAGGACCTGCATCCCGTTCTTCTCGGACATGGACACCCGGGCACTGGGCTGCAGGGGAGCATCTCCCTGCGGGTGGCGGGCGAGAGGGTGGCTTGGTCAGAGAAACCTGCTTGCTCCCCTGTTGGCTCTGTCCCCCTACCTCCAGCCAATCCTAGTGGGACAGACCCTGGGCATGGGCAGCAGAGCCCTCTGCCCTGGGTTCTGTCACATACTTAGAAAACAGGCTTTTAAAAAATACTTTGCAAGTATAGTTGACATACACTATCATGTTAGTTTTAGGTGCCCAACATAGTGACTACATATTCACATGCCTTACGAAATGATCAGCCTGGTAAGTCTAGAATCTACTTGACACCACACATAGTTATTACAGTACTAGAGGCCTGGTGCACGAAATTCGTGTGTGTGTGTGTGTGTGTGTGTGTGTGTGTGTGTGTGTGTGTAAGTGGCGGAGTGTGTCCCTCAGCCCAGCCTGTATCCTCTCCAATCTGGGACTCCTCTCACAATCCAGGACTGCTGGCTCCCAACTGCTCACCTGCCTGCCTGCCTGACTCTCCCTAACTGCTTCTGCCTGCCAGTCTGATCACCACGTAACCACTCCCCTGCCAGCCTGATCAACGCCTAACTGCTCCCCTGCTGGCTGATTGCCCCTATCTGCTCCCCTGCTGGCCAATTGCCCCCAACTGCCCTCCCCTGCCTGCCTGGTCACCACCAACTGCCCCCTCTGCTGGCCCAGTCGCCCCCAACTGCCCTCCCCTGCTGGCCTGACCACCCACAACTGCCCTGCCAGCCATCTTGAGGAAAGTCATCTTTGACCACATGGGGGCAGCCATCTTGTGTGTTGGAGTGATGTTCAATTTGCATATAACATCTTTATTATATAGGATTATTGACCATATTCCCATACTGTACAAGAGTAGTCATTGAACAGCCCAACTGCCATGACCCCAGGTCTGTGTATGCAGTGTGGTGTTTGGTTGAGCTTAGAGTGTGTTTCAAAGGAACCCCAGTTTTTAGTGGAAAATCCTATATTCCTCCTTTTAGTTCTCCTTTGACTCCTTGTCCCTTTTATTCTTACCTCAGGGTCAGCTCAGGAGAATCAGGAAATGGGTAAAATGTGTGCCATCACTCATTTTAATCCAGGAGTTCCTTCTGTGGAAAACCTGCTCTCCCTGCCTCAACCCCGAGTTTTCCCCATGGCTCCTCCGTTTAACATCCACTCCCCCCTCCTCTTCCTCCTGCTGCCTCCACTTACCCACCCACCACCTCCTCCTCCGCCTCTGCCTTCACATCACCCAGACCTGAAAGATTTATAAAGCAAGTCCACATGGGGTATTTCAAGGTAGGTGGGATAGCTCTGCCTCCCAGATAAGGAGACCAGGGTTCTAAGAGATCAAATGACTTGCCAGTATTACATGCTTTGTGAACCAGGGAGCTGAGAGTCAAAACCTAGTCCCACGGCTTCAAATTCCACTCTGTGGAGATGGTCGGGTTTGTGTTGCCACAGAAGTTTTATGCTGTTGTGTGTGTGTTCGTGGATTATAGGACCTTGTGGACTGAGTAACAGAAGGAGTGTAATGCAGCTAGGGGCAGGAACATGCATGACTATGAAACATACAGAGAAACCCCAAGAAACACCTATGGATGAAAAAGTAGGGGCTGGTTAGAAAGACACCCCCTTTGGTCCAAAGGTCTAATGCTAGACCTTCAGGGTCCCCAGGTCTGGCCAGAGGTGGGGCAGACGAAACCTCACCTTGAGCCAGGTGACCTGCGGCTGGGGCCGGCCGGTGATCTTGCAGGAGAATCGCCCCATCTGCCCTTCTCTGACCACCGCACGGCCCAGCTTGGTGGCGAACTTCGGTGGGCATTCTCCCCAGAGGCTAGGACGGGTCTCCACTGTGGCGGATGTGAGCCTGTCCCGGGAAAGAAACCAGCAGAGAATGCAGCCCTGACACTGCAGCCATTCACATCTCTTCTTCTCTGACGCCACCCAAGTCACTTAAAATTGGGGCCAGGAACCAGTAAAGGGCAGCCTTCTCAACTGTGTGCCTCAAACAGCCTTCTGATGCACCTCCTCCATCCTCTGGAAAAAATCAGTGGCACCAAAACCTATTTCCTCTACCTCCTGGGCCTGCAGCTAGACTTCATTTACTACACGCCCTTAAAGTAGGATACACCCGAATTCTACTGAGTTCTGACCAAACGCCTGGGTTGTGGCCAACAGACTTCCAGCAGAAGTGCTGTATGCCATCTCTAGCCTGGACCCATAAAACTTCCTGTGAGATGCTCCATACTTTCTCTTGTCCACTCATCTGGCTAGACACAAGAGTCCAGCAGAGGCTCCAAGGACTAGGAGATGGTGGAGCCACCAAATGGAAAGAGCCTGGTTCTCTGAAAAGTAATAGAAAACCTCTCCACCGGTTTAAGAATATCTGAATAGACTGCTGGAGTAAGAAATAACTTTTCCCGCCCTGGCTCAGTGGGTAGAGCTGTGATCGGCAAACAGCAGCTCGCGAGCCTTATGCGGCTCTTTGGCTCCTTCCACAAAGTAGCACGGCCTGGGCGAGTCTATTTTGAAGAAGTGGCGTTAGAAGAAGTTTAAGTTTAAAAAATTTGGCTCTCAAAAGAAATTTCAATCGTTGTATTGTTGATATTTGGCTCTGTTCACTAATGAGTTTGCTGACCATTGGGATAGAGCACTGGCCTGTGGACTGAAAGGTCAAGGTCATGTACCTCAATTGCAAGCTCCTCCCCAGCCCAGGGAGCATGCAGGAGGCATGTGTTTCTCTCACATCGATATTTCTCTGTCTTTCCCTCTCTCTTCCACTCTCTAAAAAATAACACCACCAAAAAGGATTAAAACAAACAAACAAACAAAAAAAAAACCACCACCAAAAAACTTTCCCTTTGTTATTGTGATTGGGGGTCTTGTTTGTTATTGCTGCTACTCTTAATCTTACCAATATAATTTCACCTTCCATAATAAGTGTCACATAGATTGCCTTTTCTAAGTCTACTTACTTAAGTCTTTCAACTATTGCCTTGATTGTTAGACATCCCTGCAGAGTATATGGCCACAGATCCCCCTTCCTTAGCATTTAGCAGCATTTAGTCCAGGGGCTATCCACACAGGTGAGGTCAAGAGGCGCTGTGTGAATGGCCTGTCACATCCCAATAGGCACCCACTTTAGTTATCATGATCCAGGATCCTCAAGAAGATGTGTTCCCTAGACCTGTTCTGTCAGGTTAGCATGAAAAGCCAATCCAGTCCTTGCCCTGGCTTGAACATCCCAGAACTTACCCCAAGGTTTTGGAAACAGGCTGACCGTGCCTCTTCACAAAGCCTCCTGCAAGTAGGAAACAGAGAAAGAAGCTTGAAGAGTCGGGTCTCAGCCACCAACTGGAGCAGCGAGTCAGGGTCAGTGAGAACGGGTGGGACAACAAGGGACACGGTTCACCCTGACTGAGCCCAAGGGTCTGGCACTAGGCTGGGCACTTGACACACATCATCACCTGGTTTCCTGCAGGATGTTAAGGTGGCTGGTACTACATCATCCTTCTAGTTTTTAAACAGACGAGAACAAGGAGATTCAGAGAAGTCGCCCACTCCAGCCACAGAGCCTGTCACAGTGCAGGGCTGCACCCGGGTCTGCCTATTCTGGGACACTCAACACCTGCTGAGCTGTCACTGCTGCTGAGGCTTCCACTTTGGGGTTCGGGGATTATCTGCGGTGACCCACAGCTGGAGCTTCCACTCTGGGGAGTGTCTATGGTGATCCACGACCTCTCCAGGAAATGACTCGGTTGGAGGGAGAGGCCTTTGCATCTCTCTTACCACATCTATTCATGTCGAACACAACCAACACTCCATCTTCCCGCATAAGGCCCAGCAAATAGCAACACCCGTCCTGCTGGGATGGAGCCGGATGACTGGAGATGCCCTATTGTGGAGCCAGCAGTGAAAACAGCTCACCCAGAAGCAGCTGGGGGCCGCTCCTTTTATCCGGCTGCTATTGCGGGAGGGACAACTCATACTGTGCCCATGCAGTGACTATAAAGTGGTGGGTGTTTTTTGCTGAAACTGGTTTGGCTCAGTGGTGGAGCATAGGTCTGCGGACTGAAGGGTCCCAGGTTCGATTCCAGTCAAGGGCATGTTCATTGGTTGCATGTGGAGGGTGTGCAGGAGGCAGCTGGTCGATGTTTCTCTCTCATCGACGTTACTAGCTCTCTGTTCCTCTCTCCTCCTCTCTGTAAAAAAAAATCAATAAAATATATTTAAAAAAATAAAAAATAAAAAAATAAAGTGGTGGGTGTTTTTTTGAGGAATAGGAAGGGGAGGGCGGGGCATTTTGCGATGGTGATCAGCATGGAAGTTGTTCTCTCTCTGCTCCAAGCTGGAATGTTTGTGAAACCCCACCCGAGGCACACGTGGAGAGGGCAGATGTCACTCCCTGATATCAGCAGGCAGCTGCCACGAGAGATTGCAGGGTGTTGACTGGAAAAGGGGAAATTCCCTTACATGCCAGCACGGATCCCCTCTATAAGAATGCATAGGCATGGGAGGTGGAGATGATGGCTGCGTATTTCCCTCAGTATGGCTGGTCTAAGGTTCCACCGGAACCCTAGTGAGAGAGGATTAACACACCAGCATCACGTTTAAGTGTGGTTCCAGCACCTGCATTCTGTTTAACATATCACTCTAGGGAGCTGTGTGTTGTTTTCATGCCATAATGTGGCTTTGTTCTTCCCATTCAATGCTCTTCAGGAGTCCAAGAACTTCTGAGCTGGGAGGAGAGATCTGTTCTGGGAGGACCCCACTGACAATTGCAGTCGGGGTGCTGGGGCCCCTCCAACACTGCTGAAGGGGGGAGGACCACTCAGCCTTTTTAGAAGGGATCTGAGCGAATGAAACATGAGCTTTAAGTACTCTGCTCTTAGGCCAGCAAACTTCCTTTCTGCGCCTCCCGTCAAAGGAAAGGATGCTAAAAGTAGCAAAGCAAGTTTACACAGCTGTTCACTGCGGTCTTGTTTGTAGTGAAAGTTGGACACAATGTAAATGTCGCACAGTAGGAAGACAGTAAGTGGTTAAGTAAAATGGTAAGACTCTATGAGACATAGAAGTATGTTGAAATATCCTATCATTTGCTCCTCAGTACACTCCACCTGGGCTGTGACACCCTCTAGAGCTCCATGCGGACCACCATCTTGCCAAACCCAGCAGGTGATCCTCTCCCCACCTCACTCGGATGTTGGGTAGCACTTGACATGAGGGGCCACTCCCCTTCAAAGACCTTCTCCTTCACTTCCTGCTTCTCAGATTCTCCAGGCTGACCCTTCTTCGTCTATCACCTCTGCCCGACCTTTGCAGCGGCTGAGTTCTGAGTCCTCCCCTCAGCACCCTAAACTCTCCCCCAAAAGGCTGTGGACAGCCCCATGACTTTATCATTTAAAAAAAAAATCTTTGTTGTTGAAAGTCCCTTTTCCCCACTGACCGCCTCCAGCCTGCCTCCCCCTACTCCCTCCAGGCCTTCACCACCCTACTGTCTGTGTCCATGGGTCATGCATATATGCACACAAGTTCTTCCCACTCACCCATCCTCCCCCCATCCTTCCCTCTGAGATTCCACAGGCCGTCCCATGCTTCTATGTCTCTGGATCTATTTCGTTCACCAGTTTATTTTGTTCATTAGATCCCATACATGAGTGGCTTCCTGTGATATTTGTCTTTCTCTGAGTGGCTTATTTCACTCAGCTTAAGTCTCTCCAGGCCCCTCCATGCTGTGCCAGCCCATCGGTAGACGAGTGGATAAATGCACTGTGGTACATTTACACATGGAATACTATGCAGCAGCCCCGTGACTTTAAACATTACCCAGAAGCTGATGACTCTCGAATCACATACTACCCGTACTTCTTACTCATTCACCAGAGGTATCCAGAACAGTGCTCAGCACATTATAGATATTCAGATATTTGCTAACTTAATGAATTTTATGAAAAAGAGCAGCATATAAAATTTTCTGACAATGTGATCATAATTATAAAACATGAAATACTCAAACACAGGAAAATGACCAGAAGAAAATGACCAGAAGAAAAAATAAAAAATTTAGCCAGGACTGGTTTGGCTCAATGGATAGAGCGTCGGCTTGGGGACTGAAGGGTCCCAGGTTCGATTCCAGTCAAGGGCATGTACCTTGGTTGCGGGCATATCCCCAGTAGGGGGTGTGCAAGAGGCAGCTAATCGATGACTCTCATCGATGTTTCTAACTCTATCTCTCTCCCTTCCTCTCTGTATAAAATCAATAAAACATATATTTAAAAAATAAAAATAAAAATTTAGTTATAAAAAAAAGGGGAAAAAGAAGTTGGAAGGTGGGGGAGAAAGAAAATTTAAAAAGGAAAAAGATTCCAACATCCAACCAAAGGTAAACATGCCCTCTTACACACGCTCTATGCTGCAGCGTCAGCAACATGCCCAGTCACTAAGACTCCCATGTTAAATATCCATGTACCATTCACTGCACTTAACCTACTCCAATGCTCATTTCATTTTGGAGTAAAGATATGATAAACATGCGACTGACCAACTGATGAGTGGATAAGCAAAAAGTGGTCTATCTATACAATGAGATATTATTCAGGAATAAAGTAATGAGGCATGCTATAACATGAATGAACCTTGAACAAATTTGTTAAGTGAAGAAAGCAAGACACCAAAAAATGTACAATTCCATTTACGTAAAATGTCCTGAAGGGGCAAATCCATAGAGACGAAAAGCAGGTTAGTGGCTGTGCTGAGCAGGGTGGGGTGGGAAGGGCCTGCTCGGTGTGCGGGGGGTTTCTGTCTGGGGGATAAACAGTTCTGAAATAGACAGTGGTGATGGTTGCACAACACTGAATATACTTAATGCCTCTGAATTGTATACTTTAAAATGATGGAAATGGTAAATTTTAAGTTATGTGTATTTACCAAAATAAAAAAATAAATAAATTAGCACTAGAGGAAGCATCTTTCAAACTCTTGAGAGTTCAACATCTTAATCCAAAGGCTAAAATTCCTGTATTCCTTAAAAAATAAAATTAAGGTAAAAATATGGCAGTTCCTCAAAAAAATAGCAAAAGAATGCTGTTTGAAGATACTTCATATCAGAGTAAGAGCAGTTTATGTTATGATCCAAAGGTAACAAATAAAGCATTCAGCTAAAAATGGAACTGAGGAATGCTTATTTTAATGTGAGTTAACACCAGAGAGTTTACATCAAAACAAAGAGACTTTGGGCTAAAATAACTAATGGATTCTATTTATAGGCAAAAATTTTGAAGTTGCATATTGTCAGATAAGGCAAAATTAATTTTGTGAAAGCATGAAAATTTGGCAGAACAGTAAGGCTGTGTCGAAAAATAAGTGGAAAGGGGATTAAGGTAGAAATGCTAAAAATAGAAGAGTAACTTAAGAGAATTGGTGGAGACAGGATCAATTAATGAGAGGAAAAAGGCCAAGGCACTGAAAGTATTTAAACAATAATCTTCGATTTTTTTTCAACAAGCAAAATAGAATGCTGGCAATTTTTAACAGTGAAAAAGTTCAACAGTGGAGCGGCCCGGCACTTTTTGTCAAAGGATCTAGAAAGACTGAGAGAATGCTGCTGAAAAGAGGAATCTGTAATCAAGATGGTAAGGAGAAAAAATGCTTCTAAAAATGTGTGGTGTCATAACTTATCACCCAACCTGGGACTCCCGACACCAAAAGGGACATAATTAATAACTCTGCCAGGAAAATAGGATTAAACCAATACCATTTCAGGCAAACCAGGGAGCAGGCACTCCACTAGTATATACTTAATGGCGAATTCAAAATGGATTTTAAGGATTAGGTAAAATAGTTGTTCTCCAGTTAGAACAAATGCCCACTTTTTATAACAGACATTTAGCAATGCCCCTGGGCCATCCTGAATTGAAGTTTGTCATTAACCACCCATATATATATATATATATATATCTTCAGAAATAAAATAAATATAAGACCCCACCTAAATATTAAGGAGAAATAAAAGGAAAATAAATTATAATAATATTTATTTATAATAAGTCAAAGTTCAAGCATGACTATCTTATATGTAAATGTTCAGGCACATTAGAAGTCATAATGAAATGGTCAGACGTTTGCACTGACCAATATACATGTTTAGATTCCAAAGTGAATGATAAAAAACAATGTACTGTACAAGTAGTACAGGAAAGTGAGAGAACACAGGTATACAGGTGGACACCTAAAAAATAAAAAGAACCATCTCACACCTGTCAGAATGGCTATCATCAACAAATCAGCAAACGACAAGTGCTG